TGAAAGTCAAAATACGCTCTGCAAACTAGGAATAGGAAAATTCTTTTACCTGCTAAAGAGCATCTAAGAAAATATATAGCTAATATATTAGGGAAGAAAGACGGAATGCTTGCTTACTTTTTTACTCTTTATCATTTGCCAGAGAGCACATACAGTCACCAGAGGAGAGACAGAGGGAGGAAAGCAAACCCATGGGACAAAGCCACAGTGCAGTTCTTTCTCCATCTCTCCATCCTGCTGGGATTTGGGGCACTCATGCACACATGCCCAGCATGTTTTTAAACTCACATTTTTTTCCACTCTTCCATGAAGTTGTGAAGTCCCCTTATACTAAGAAATGATTATCAATGTATGCAGGACAAAAGCATTCATGAAAATCCAACATCTATATCTGAATTTATGAAAGTCAAAATACGCTCTGCAAACTAGGAATAGGAAAATTCTTTTACCTGCTAAAGAGCATCTAAGAAAATATATAGCTAATATATTAGGGAAGAAAGACGGAATGCTTGCTTACTTTTTTACTCTTTATCATTTGCCAGAGAGCACATACAGTCACCAGAGGAGAGACAGAGGGAGGAAAGCAAACCCATGGGACAAAGCCACAGTGCAGTTCTTTCTCCATCTCTCCATCCTGCTGGGATTTGGGGCACTCATGCACACATGCCCAGCATGTTTTTCAAGTCACTGGAGCTGGGATTTGAACCACACGTGGGCCATGTATATCTGGCTTCCTTAAGCACTAGGCTATGGGGCTGGCCCAACACTGAATGCTTTCACCAGGCCAAGACATTCATTCTGTTGTTCAACATTGTACTGGCCAGTATAGTATGTGAAGAAAAACCATGTACTCATATTGAATAGAAAGAAGTAAATCTACCTTTATTCATAGACAATATGATTATCTATGTAGAAAACCTGATGGAATCTACAAAAAGCTACTAAAATTTGATCTGTGATTTCCTTGATACAAGGTAAGTATACAAAGATTTTGGGGTACAAAAATGACTAATTTTATACAGTAGCAACAGATGATCTGAAGAGGAAATTAATAAAAATATTATTTTCAGTAGTAACAAAAATATGAGGCACTTACATTTCCAGGAAAAGATGTAAAAGACTGTTATACTGAAAACTAAAAAGATACTGTTGAGAGAAATGAAAGATGGTTTAAATAAAAGAAGAGAACATGTACTGTGTTCATGAGTTAGAAGATGTCATTTATCTCTAAATTGATATATAAATTCAATATGATCCTAATCAAGATTTTAGCAGGCTGTTTTGTAGACATTGAGAGATTGATTCTAAAATTTGTATGCAAATACAAGGGTCCTAGGGTAGACAAAACAGCTTTAACCAAAAGCAAAACTGGAAGACCCGTATTACCTGACTCCATGAGTTTTTAGTAAGCCTCAGTAATCAAGGCAGTTTATCTCTGGCATACACATGGGCATGAAGATCAGTGCCACACTATCTGGAATGAGGTTCACACTTAAATATATGATAAGTTGATTTTCAATAAGGTACAAAAGCAATTCAGCAAATGGCACTAAAATTAGATATCCATATAAAAATTTACATAAAAATTAACTGAAAAATGGAATATAGCCCTAGATATAAAGCCTTCTTTAGGAAAACAGAAGATCTTTGTATTGATAGTACTAGTTTACACAATTTATTAGGTAAGAGCAAAAGCATGACCCAGAAAGAAAAATTGGTAAGTAAATCTTCATGAAAATGAAGAACTTCTGTTCTTCAAAGACTGTAAAGAGAATAAAAGTAGAAGTCACAAACTGGAGGAATATTTGCAAATCTGATAAAGGACATGCATGTATAGTATGTTTAAAAAAAAACTATAAACTTAATGATTAGAAAAAAGTCGACTGGCACTTTCCCAAAGAAGAAAACACTAATGAAAAAGTGTGCAGCATTATATAGTAGAATATGTGAATTTAAAATTACTATGAAATACCACCATGCATGAGATTGCCTTGACTGATTACAATGTTGGTAAGGATGTGGAGGACCTAGAACTCTCATACACTGTCAGTGGGAATATAAAATGATATAACTTTAGGAAACAGTTTGACCATTTCTTGAAAAGTCAAATGTATACCTGTCATATGACCCAGCCAGCGTACTCCTTGGTATTTGTCCAAAGTAAATTAAATATTATGTTTATATAAAGACTTGAATGTAAAGGTTCATAACAGCTTTATCTGTAATAGCCTCAAGGTAGAAGCAACCCATATGTCCTTTGGAGAAGGAATAGATTCATTCTTGGGTTGTCTGTATAGTGGAATAGTTCCTAGCAATAAAATGGATGAATTCTTGATACAGCCAGTGACATGGATGAATGTCAAAGTAATGCTGAATGAAAGAAGCCAGACAGTGTATACTATATGATTCTATTTGCATAAAAATCTAGAAAATACAAACAAATCTAGTATGACAGAAAGCATGTCAGTCATTGCCTGCAGGGCTATGGTAGAGAGAATGTACCAATATTTACACAGGAGTGCAAGAAAACTTTTGCAAGTGATAGACATATTCACCATCTTGATTGGGGTGACAGCTTTGTGTCAAAACTTAAAGCATATACTCTTAATATGTGCGGTTTAGAATATGTTCATCTTGTCTGAATGAAAGAATGTTTTCAAAAAATTTCCTGCCGTTTTAGAACTTATATTTTACTGGGGGTGAGGTGTCATGATAATAAACAAGTATGTGCAGATGTTGAAAAGCTTTTGAAGAAAAACAAAGCCACGTGAGGATAGAAAGTGATGGAGAGGGAAAGTGATACATGAGGTTAGGAAATTCCTCAGTAATAAAATGACATTTGAGTTGAGACTATTTTAAGCTCCCTGATAATCTTTTGAAAGCTATTTTAAGATAATGTTTTAGTTTTTTTAAAGTTGTAGGTGTTTGTTCCCTCATTTAAAAGAACAGCAGCTTTTTTCTAACTTGAAGGCAGATTTGAGTTTTGAGATCAGAAGAAAGCAGATGGTAAGGGTGGGGCAGACATAAGCAAAACCTAAAAAGTATCCAAGAGCAGCCCATTTTGGCTAAAAGAATTTAATTTTAGATCGGAAGGATGATGACACATTTTGAACATCTGTAGAATGGTGTCTCAGAAAGAAAATCAACTAGTTATCCCCGTCTCCCAGTTTCCTACCAGGTAGGAACAGTCGCTCTTCGGTTTTCTGAAAAGGGAAACCCAAAATGATGCAGTGCGTGTCACTTCTAGTTCTCCTGTGTCAGGCGTGTGGTGCTGGTGAAGAGGATACACTTACTTCTGAATGGGAGAGCGGAGAGTCCCAGCAGTGGAATGGCCTGCTTGCCCTCAGCCCCTCGTCCTAACAGAGCAGCTCAGAAGAAACACGTTCTGGCCCCGTAGCAGGTTTCTCCTGCCCACTGCACAGGGCCTTGTTCTAAGGCAGGCGCTGAAGGGTGCTGAGTGAGGAGCCACACTGCTCTCTAGTAGATAAATGAAGTCTGAATTTGGTTCCATTTCCAAAAGAGTGCTTGCTAACAAAGGGAACCGTAGGATAGCTGTGTACTTGGGACAAATAGAAATAATGGTAAAAAAGAAGAGATTAAAAATGGTTTGTAGCATGTACCATAAACTGAAATGTGGTCCTTTATTTTGAAAATGTGGTTTTAACTCTGCTCATCTCTGGAATTTTTAAAATGTAGTCTGTCTAGAGAATAATTTAAAGATTTTGCCTTACTTAACATAAATTTGGTGACAGTAAAAGTGGGAAAATGCATTGATCTAAAGCCAATTGTGTATTTCTGTTTCTGTAAAATTTTTATAAAACATAACTAATTTCTGTCATTCTGTCTTCTGATTTCTTTTCCCTGGGAGAATGTTATTCTAAAAGAGGCATCTCCTATTCTGAATGACACTTCTACCATGTACTCCAGGCCCTTGGGTGGGACAGTCTGTGTTAAAAAGAGAACTATGGGCCTCATCTGTCCCTTGCGGCCAGAGCTTTGAGAAGCAGGAGCCCTTTCAGGGCTGGGTCCCACTCCCAGCTAGTGCAGGTGCCCATGCTCAGGCCTCTGTGACTGTCAGGAGCCCAAGACTTTCCCTCCACCCCTACGTCGCTGCTATAGGACTCCCCATGAGTGGATTCCGCTCAGTGTTGCTCCTAGAGGAGGCAATCTGAATCTCTTTTTTTATTTTTTCAAGAATTATTTAATTAATTTTATGTGTTGTTGTTATTTTTTAAAATTTAATCAGAGATAAAAGGAAAGTGAGAAATCAAGCCGCCAGGTCCAGTACTCAGACGTCAGTCATCCATGTGAAAGACCAGCATCTTAACTACCACACCACCTTCTGGCCCCCTAAATCTCTTTTGGGCCACAATCCCCGTGAAGGATCTAATGAGAGCTGGGGACACAATTTTGCATGTAATTTCAGGGACTTTCAAGAACCCATGATCTAGGACAGGGGTAGACATTAATACCTGTCCCCAGTAAGCAGCATTCTTTGCAGAATACAAAGTTCCAATTCTTTGGGAAGAACAAAGGCAGCACTCTGTGTCCCAGGGAATTATTAAATTGTATTTTGTTATAATAATCTCTTCAGCCTGGCATCAGGAAAAGAAGTAGAGAAAAGCAAACACGTGTGTGCCTGGTTGCACTGGGTAGAGCTTGCATATTGTTGCAGTGGTCTGCATCCACATGGCTTTTACATGTATGTTTGCTATTGAGAAAGAAATTAGGACGGACATTTCAGTATTCTCTTCCCACCCTTCTTATGGTTCTCCTTTGTTCTGTTTCACATAATTTCTCCGATTTTATATAGAACAACCGCCTACTAGTCTGTGTTTAGACTGCAACCGGGACGCCAAATACTACATCTACCTTACACAGTGACTCAGCATTCTAGACTTTTGTACTGTGCATTTAGTTATTTGTTCCAAAATTCTATCCCGGAAAGAAGTTTCCTGAATTGAAATTGATTAACAGTGTACCTTTTCTTTTTCTTATAGCTTGTACCTCCTTTTAAGCCTCAAGTAACATCTGAGACAGATACCAGATATTTTGATGAAGAATTCACAGCTCAGACTATTACAATAACACCACCTGAAAAATGTAAGTAAACCTAGAAGGCACCTGATCACTGATAATGTAACTGAAGAAAACAGGGCTGGTTTGTTTTTTTTTTTAATCATTTGACATTTTTAAGATTAGATTCCACAATAACTTAGTTCAGTTCCACTTAGAAATATAGAAGGACCAAAAGACAGATAACTGCAGGAAAAGCTTTTCTGGGTAGGACAAAATTATATGTAGAGAAACTGTAGACTAAATTAGAGAAAAATTGGCTCTTCCTTACCGTAATAGAGTCTTCTGACATCAGCTGAAAGATTCTTTAATAGAGGCTTCGCCTGCTTCCCAGACTTGCTAGTTCACATACCACTTTCAGAATCATGCTAATTTTGGTCTCCTACTTACTTCCTAGTTTTTAAATTCATTTTAAATTAAGTCACTCTTTTTTACTTAGCTTTCTCTCTTTTTTTAATTAAATTTAACTTGTTTATTCATTTTAATTTGAACAGAGAGGGACAGAGCTAGAGAGAAAAAGAGAGAGAAAGTGAGAAAGCAAGCTGCCAGGTCCAGGACTCAAACCATGATCGGCCATGTGGGAGTCCAGTGTCCTTAACCACCATGCCATCTGCCGGCCCCTACTTAGCCTTCTCTTAAGCAGCAATAACTGGTAAGACATAATTTACTTGCTAGTAATTTTTTGATACATATAAATTAAATTATATATTAATTAAAATGCTGTATTACAACCACATTCAAATTACACTCTTTAGAGTGCACCCGCACTTTGGTAAGTACCGTAAGCAGGTAGACTTTGATGAAGGAAAAGATTGTCAGATAGAACATATAAACATTCTCATGATGACAAGTGCCTGTACTCGTCGTCATTACCCTCAGAGTGAGGATAAGATTGAGTTTCAGAGTAATATTTGGAAAGCTAAAAGAATTGTTTTAAGTCACACACCTTTTGGATCACACATCATCATATTCATTTTCTTCTCCTTTTCTCTCCCTTTTAATCCTTATGTTTCTTCCTTTCCTGTTCCTTTTGTACAGCAAATTAGTTGATAATGTCAGGTACACTGAGTGTCCACGAGAGGGAAGACTGAAGCAAAGTGCTATTATAGCTGTGGTCACAGACAACAGATTCTAGTGTTGGAAAGCAAAGCAGTATTTCTTCTTCTTTTCTTTTTCTTTTTTTCTTTTTAAAATTTGCCATAGGATGTATACATTCGAGGGAGAGAATAGAAAGGAAGAAAGGTAAACTGAGAAAGCCTACCGCTAACCCCCAGGGGTGAGAGATTACCACACTACAATCCCTTCTCCACTCTCTTGTCAGAATTTTGGGCACGTACATGCATGCACCCAGCATATTTCTCAAGCCACTGGGTCCAGGACTCAAACCACGCAGTTCACTACGTGGAATCTAGATTCCTTAACTACCATGTCACCTGGCTGGCTCCAACTAGTATTACTAGGCCAAGAGGTTTTAATCTGGGGTCATTGGCCTGGCAGCAAGGGGAATGTAATCACTCTGAAATTAAAGATATAATCATATGTCCTTATAGGTACTTTAATTTATTTACATTCACAAGAAGTTAAGAACCTCTTAGCTTTAATTTCACAAGTGTAGAAATTGAAGCCTGGAGAGAAGGTGAGCTGCTCAAGTCCACACAGTTAGCATCAGCCACACCCAGGAGCAGGCTCACCAATTTGGCTAATAGCTATGCTGAGTTAGAAAATACCTGTACGAACTCACAGTGCTAGATGGTGGGATTCCACTCTGTCTGTGTGCCCTTTACTAGAATTTTTAAATCAGTAAATGTCTAAGACAGTGTTGGAAAGCGCATGGAGACACAGGCAAACAGCTAAGGGCCGCATGAATAGAAATAGTGGGCACAGGCCTGTGCCTCTGGCCCCAGCATGGAATGTGGCAATAATTGTCCAAAATGCTGGCTAATGCCAGTGAGCCTTTGGATCGGTCATGGGCAGTTCCCATCAGAGAGCATTCACTAGGCCTCGTCATTTGGCTATGACCCTAGTTGTAATCAGAGCACATCATTCCTCTGCTTAAAACCTTCCAGTGCCTTCTTACTGCTCTCTAAATCCAAATTACTCTACTGGCTTCACAGCCCTTCTGGATGGGGCCCCCCTCTGACTTCTTCCTGTGCCAGCTTCCCTACTGCCCTATGTTCTGGCCACTCCTTAAACAGGCCACCTTCCCTATGCCTTGGGACTTGCATGTGTTTACTCTTCTCTCTGCCTAGAACTCTTCCTAGATATTTGCATGAAGCGTTCCTTCTTGTCCTTCAGATCTCAGCTAGTGTCATTGCACCTGAGAGCCTTTGATCCAGTCTCGAGAACAGTGCACACTGACACACTCCTTCCCATTAATTCTCTGCCCTGGCACTTTTACTTCCTGATATTTTGCCAGTTAATTTTTTTGTTTCTTTGTTTTATGTCTTTTCCTGCCACTAGAAGGCAATAGTTCTGAGAGGCAGACTGGTTGGTCTGACTTGCCATTGGCCCCAGCTCTGAGCTAGCTACTTGGCCCATTTAGTAAATACACAGTGGATGGATGAACAGAAGACTATGAGGCCTGGAAGCCAGGGCCAAAAGGAAGCCCAGCTCTGTGCAGATGGTGTGGCTACCACAGGTGCCTGGCATTTCTGTTTCCACCTCTTCCCCCACTTGATATCTGCAGTGGACATTGGGGATAGGAGGGCCCTGACATGCTCTGTCCTTGACCTCAGCCTCTTTGAGACAACTTCCTTTCTTAAATAGAGTTGTTGGCATTTGTGGGCTCTTTCTAGGACAGCTAGCTATGTTATTTCAGAAGTCACAGAAATAGGTAGGTTGTATAAATGCAAAGCCAGGAGTAGATATTTTACTTCAGGAAAGCAAGGTTACAATTTGGGGAGACAGGCTGAAAAGCCTTAAACGCAGACCTGTGGAAGCTGCCTTGTGTCCTGTCTCTGCAACTTCCTAGCTATAGGATGTGGCAGTCTCATCGTCCTCTAGAAAAGGAGGTCACAGAGCTGGACAGTCCTAGCCCTGCTAGGTCCCTGGGGAGCCGTCTTTTAGGAAGGGCACCTTGACTTTGACAAGTGTGAATGACCCTAGTTTCAATTTTATCCATGCGCTGGATTAACCAGTTCTTATTCCTACTTTGTTCTGGGATCTGTGGAATGTGACAGTAGGCCAAAAACACTGCACAGCTGGTGAAAGGAGGGTCTGGCTGAACTAGAGATGGACAGGGAGAGCACAGCCGGGCAGGCGCAGGTCTCCTTAGCTGCAGATGAGAAATGAGAAACTGCATGTACCTCCTCACTTGGTCAGTTTGTTGTTTCCTGATTGACTTTATTTTCAAATCCATAGGACGTCAAGAACTAGAATCCTAGCTTGTCCCAATTCCAAACCCATGGCAGTCATCCTGATAAGAATTTGTCATTAGCGTGCATTTCACTGCTCAATCTAGATCTTTTAAAATGAGATGAAATGCTGGTGTTTTAAGTCTCCCTGCACAGTTCCTAGAACACAATTTGAACCTAGCTCCTCAGCTCCCTTAATCAGCAGTATAAAAGCCATCAAGGATATTTCTCCCAGCATGTCACATTTTATAACTACTAACAACAACCCTGTTCAAAAGAATAGGTCATTTCAGATGTGGATTAGTCTGTAAGAGATAGCAGTTCCATCTCTAGATTGAGATAGGGATATGCAGGAAGTCTCTACATTGTAGTAACTTCCAAGGCGAGTATCAAAATCCACCTGTTCTTGCAGGCCTGTGAAAGTCTGGCTTTTTTGGGCATCAGATGTGCTTATGGCCCCACCTTGCCACTGGGCACTGGAAATACAGAAAAAAGAGACCAGCAGGGTCATCTGTGTCCAACACAGCGTTCCCTAGTCTGGAGGTAGGGAAGGCACTGTGGAAAAGCGACTTTATTTCCCTATTCAGGATCTCTAGAGAGGAGAGTCTTCTGAAAGAGCCCGGTACAGTGCGCCCCTGCAGAGACAGGCATGGCTGTGTCAGGCACCTCTCTGTTCAGCTACCTCTCCTGCTACCTGCCTGGCAGGCCCAGCACAGCCCTCAGCCCTGGGACTCCCTGGGACCCACTGTGGTATGGGCTTCCATGCTTGTCAGCCACAGCTCCTGGGTCCTGCTGTGGTGAAGTGACAGCGTTTTCAGTTTGACGGCCCCTGAATATATCCTGCCTACCCTGACGGGGTAGGTGAAAGGTGGATCAGGGAAACCCTGAACTGTAATTACATTTAGCATAATCTTTTCTTCTTGCAGCTTTTAATAGTAGTGCTGCCCTCTGACTGCAAACGTACAGAGATTTTATTCATAAAAGACCACGGTAGTACCATCCATTAGCAACTGTCTCTCCACTTGCCACCTTGCTTTTATAAAACAGAACGCAGTTATTTTTTTTAGAACAAATCAGCAGTTAGAAAAGCAAAATGTTCCATTTTCTGCAAACAGCTGCAGTAACATGCCAGATTGTCCTCACTGGTGTTAATTAATTGAACAGATTTTGGAATGTGTCGTCTTTCGTTATATCCATTAGTGGTCTTCTGCCTTCCTCTTACAGAAAAAAAGATTTTTTTGCGATCTGGTCATGTCTGCTGCCATATAATTACATTTGTTAAATGCTCTAAGAAAATTAAGCAACTGATATTCCTTGGATCCAGGAGTTCAGATTTAGCATGTAGAGATGCTCTTCTGTTTTCTTTTTCCAGACATGTGGTTGTCAGGACACAGTTCAGGTTCATTACTGGCATTGCACCCCATGGTCGTCCTCTAATAGCCGGAGCTTAGCCCTGTAAACTTGCTGCAGATGGGCTCTGACCTAGCTGCCACCCAGCCTGCCGCACTTCCTCTTGCTCCCTCCCCGTCTCTGCAGCCCCACCTGCCCCAGGACCAGGGCCCAGAGGGAGCGCCTTCATTCAGTCTGGGGTGCCC